CGCACGCACGCACGCACTCGCACGCACGCACGCACGCACACAATGACAACAATAAAGAAAAAACTCAATAAATGAATAAACAGTTACATAGGTGTTTGCATGCATAATAAATAAATAAATATATATATATACATACATACACACACACACAAACAATATGTTTGTGTACACCCTGGTACCAAACTCTAAACCACCGAATCCGGCTAATTAAAGGCCCCAGTGGCGTGGGCGGCCCCTCAAGCCAGCCGAGGACGCAGGCGCCCTGCTCACCTGAGGGGCTCAACAGGTTTAGGGGTTTAGGGTTTAGGGGTTGGGGGTTTAGGGGTTTAGGGTAACATCGGGCTGAATCTAATGAGGAAAAGCCATAGTACCAGTAGTACCGACACTCGCTTTTACTAACAACAAGAAGAGAGAGAGCAATTAACGTTGCCATCATAAGCGGCAATTTCTTCTTTTCGTGATAAGAAGAGTGGTTGTTTTCGCAACAACGAGTATTCAATTCATCGTCAAGGGATCAATAGTCAAGGGTGTATTCTGGGTTCGGGAATCCGTGGCAAGGCGAACAGGTAGTATTAAGAGGCTGTCAGGCTGTCTCTCTTCCGAGAAGATAAGATTTTTCCGGTGTTGAGGACTTTGGGGTTTTTGAGACGCGGACACTAGTCGCAGCTGAAGCTGCAGCACGACGCCCCTCTTCAACTCTTGGGGCGAAGGTCGAGGGTTTCCTGCTGCAAGATCACTGCCTGAATTTGCTGTGCTGCCAGTCATGCTGGGGCTGTCCAGCAAGAACCTGTAGCTACGGCGACAAACTCCACTAGATATGCCGGCTTGCTTTCCATCTACGTGGATAACAACGGCTTAACTTGGCTGACAAGTGATGAATGAAACAATGTAAAGTGCAAGCACTTCACTGCCATAATGCGGACACGCAGCAGTATTCCTTGGCTGAGCAAGAATTTGCATTGATTCTACGACGAGTCTCCAACACCAACGCTGATACGAACCTTGACTGTGTCGCCTACCAGGCCTACCATGTACCAGAATGCCGTCTCCCGAGTTTCTTGCCCTCTGCCGCACTCTTCAACCCAAATGCTCAGCGCGCCGTTTCAGTTTTTCAGCAACACGGTTTCGTCTCCTGTGGCCGTCAAGTACAGCTTCAGAGTTTTTCCGCCCGGTAAACTGTGCTTCTGTGCAGCATCTGCTCTGCAGCAACTGCACGTGTTGTGCAACAAAAACTGGGCAAGGCGATCTTGCGAAAGTAAGCAGCACAAACTTCGTACCAGGGGATGCCGATTAACACACCAACACATCGCCAGTAAGTCAGTAAGTGTTCGATCGGTGTGGAGTTTCAAGGTTGGGCTTCGTTAAGGCAAACTCGGTTGGCCAGTGGTTCTGCGTGGACATCTTCGGTGGCCTATAAGCCCTACTGTAAGGCTCGACACGAGCCCAGAGTTGCCAGCAAGCATCGCCGAAGATCACTCTCGCCTTGCCCGGGCCGATGCGTTTGACCATGAAGTCCAGGCGCATGGAGGGTATCTGCGGTAATTTTTTGGCGCAGTGAACCGCTTTGCCCTGAACTTAGGTCTTAGGTGACCTTTTCGAGATGCTTCGAAACCGAGAAAGACACCTTGAATCAAGGCATCAGAGCAGAACAACCATGAACAACACATGACGAAGTACCCGACACAAAGTGCAAGAAAGCTTTTCAACGTAGGGGGCTTGCAGGTTCAACATTGTGGCGTAGTGGCGTAGTCCAGGATCCCAAAGCTCTCACGGTGACTTCAGCTCACACACAACAGAATTCAGAGACCCTAATAATTTAGGCGATATTATGCCCCCGCCCCCTTCCGGCCGGCTGGTGCTCCGCGGAGAGCAGCCAGGCCAACAGTATCTGAGCGATGCTGGTGGCCTTCTCCTGAACAAGGGAAAACTCGAGTCCTAGACTTTGTCGCCTCGTGTAGGCAGCAACCGTCAACCCGATCCCTTTCTGTCCCATTGAGCACAGCCGACTCTGGCCCTGAGAGCTGCGTTGCTGTTCTGTCTCAGCATGCCTTGGCCATTTCCCAGGCTTCTTTGTCCTCAGTGTCAGGCCGACTCACATGGCAAAACACGACGCGAAGCTTCACGAGTTCGCACTCTCAACTTGCTTGAAGCTTCAGGTGTCTGCAAGACAACGCATCCGAAGTGGGAGAGCAGCATAGATGACAAATGGTTTGCTGACCTCAGCCTGACTCCTCAGGACCCCACGCCGTCCCACTTGTCTAACACCATGGCCTGACAGGTAGACCACGCACAGGCAGGATGCTGCCAACTGGAGTTTGTGATGGTACGTAATATGACGACAGATATTCGGTTTCGGCATAACGCAGACGCCGGACACGCAGTGTTACGTGTCTCTGTTACACAAGCTCACTGTCAAGCCAAGCACGGCTGGAGTTCATCCCACGGCATTTCTGTATGTTTTCGGTCGGGACGGCCACTGGAAGAAGCAGTCGCAGCAGCCGTCGCTGTGACGATGACAGCAGTAGCATAGTGCATGCTGCATTCAGACTGAGGTGTGCAGGTCCCTGGTGTCAAGGCAAAATGCGGTGAGCAAAGGACTGAGCCGCCCATCTAAACCCTGAAGCTTGAAGCATCTTAGAATCTTGAAGCCTAGACTCGGGGCTCACATCCCACGGCCTGCAACACCTATCGACCTATCTCTGGCTACGCCATGTCCTACCCGCCTCCGTGAGTTTCGAGAAGCTCGCTCTCGAGACACCTACCTCGGGATATCACGCGTCCAGTCCAGAGCTACGTCGCTTGCGGTCCTGGGTCAGGGAATTCAAAGGCGCGACCTCAGGACACCAAACCTAACCACAGATCTACTATGGCACAGAACGAGCCGCAGAATCCCAGCCGCAGTCTCGATACTAGATAGTCCAGTGGCTTAGCCACCGCACGATCATCTGGGTGGCAGACATTTTTGGAGTCATCCGACGGGCCCCAAGCATTGCCTTGCTCCGGGGAGTTGGCCGGGCCGTGCTCCGTCAAACATAAAGCGGTTTCCTGCTTCGCGCAAGCTGTAAGCTCGGGGTGGCCTTCGAAGTCTCGAGGTCAAGGAAAGTTAACTTTTTCTAATGACTTTTTGTCGGGTACCAGGGTTGAGCCCGCAAGGCCTCTGCAGATTGGCAGCTGAACTCAAACAAATCATAATTGCAAAGGTGGCAAGAGTGATACCCGTAATGGTGAGAGACGTAGAGAACCACATTCCTGGCTTCACTCAAGCGTATCCTGCTCCAGCCTCTCCTTTTCAAAAAGTTTCATCGTAACTTGGCTGAAGAACGTCGACAAAGTCGCGGCCAGCCCTGGATCCCTTCGATCAGGCAACCAGAGGTGGGAAGCTGAGGCAATGGCACTGTATCATGGTCGGCTGGATGGGATGCTGGCAAGGAAGCCATGAATTTTGGAGTTCGTTGTAGGTGCCGAAAAGTTGGAACTGTTCTGCTGTGGGAAACTTCATCTGAAAGAGTACTAATTTCGGAAGCGTCCGTGCCAGTTGGCTTAATCTCCTGGATCTTTGACATCTTGGCAGGGTTCCTTTCAGCTATCGGCTCTGTCATGCAACTCACAGTTCACTTCGCCGGTATAGTGCAAATTCACCGCAGATACCGGATCCAGGTCACCAAGCCTGGCTATTGCCTGCACAGCTGTAACAGATACTAGCACTGGCGCATAACTACGACCACGATGTTCAAGCGGCCAAAACGCGCCGAGCTAGGGAATGCGCTAGTTCGCCACTCTGCTGCACTACTAGGATGCCCCCCCCTCGCCCCCCACCATGTCACCTCAGCCGGCCATGTCGGTGGTGGCAGGTAGTACTGCCGCATCTCGAAATCAAAATCTACCCACTCCTGGCAGGGATGGTCTCTGTAGGCTTATCGTGGCATATGCAAGGATACTGCAAGCAACGTGATCACTCGAAAGCAATGGGCCGTGTGGAATGTGGCCGGGTTATACATCTGCTCCATGTGTTGCAGGGCCCTCGAAGCCTTGGCGCCTGCAAACGACCATAAAACCGGAAGGACCATGCGGGTTTATGGTCGGAATGATTGATCCTTTGAGCCTCAATGGGTGCAAGTCTGACCTTCCCCCGTTTCTCAGACACGACGCTAGCACCATGATGACAAAACCCCGGGCCCTGAACAAACGACCTAAATCCAACCTTCTCCTACGGAATCGTCCCTAAAACTAAAAAAAGAAAGCACCTATTGGACTTCGCTTCTTAGATGCGCAGCCATGCGCAGCCAGCGTCATGCACTTTGTCAGTAAGTTGCAAGAGCAAAAGTAACATCCTGAACCTCAAAAAAATCAAAACCCTGCAGTCCCAAACCCTAAATTCTGGCCCTGAAACTCCAAACCCTTTTAAAAGAACTGAACTCCTAAAGCCCCGGCGCCTAAACCCAGAAGTCTGAGGCCCTGAAACCAAGAACATACAAGGGGCCTGTCCTGTACCACACAGTAGGTGGCCAGACAGCCCTGCTGATTCATCATCTCCTTCAGTCTCGCCTGCACTGGAGAGTACTACACGGGCCATAAACAATTACCTCTACTATCTTGGGGGCTCCTTAGCATAATCATCGTATAATCTACCCCAGACCCCTATTCTAATTTTTTAAGGCCCCTACATGTGAGCCTGGGGGGACGGTGCCTGATTCTGCAGCCAGCTTCCGGGTTTCGGGATCTGGGGTCCCCCGGGGTTGGGACTTTGGGGGGCCCCAGGACTTTAGGGGATGAGAGCAATGTTGAGGTTTCACATGTTACAGTCTGAGGCAGCCTGCAGGTGCTTCGGGCTGGTGAAGGTGACGACGAAGCGGTTCTCCCAGCTCCAGCCGAGCTTCACCACCCCCTGGCAAGCAAGGACAACCATTGCTCAACTACTTACCCGTCATGGGTCTTGTTGTAGCCTTCCGTAGAAGAACCTGGGAGTCTACTGGCATCAGTTTCGCTCCTGTCTCAGAGCCCCATGGTTTGAGCGAATTATCCCGGAGCTGGGGCAATCAATGCATTGAGCCCTTGAGTTCTGGATGCCCACTGCCGTGGCACCTTGACGACACCGTCCTTGTTGACAGCTGACGGTGCTGGGGGGTCGCCATCCTCCACCTCGGGGCTTTCGGCTTTATGGAGGTGCAGGGAGGAATGTGTCGGAGGAGTGGAAGAGCACGAGCCGAACAGTGCTTGCGTCGTATGCTCAGTGAACATGTCCGAGGTTCAAGCTTGAAGTTCGAGATATTTGGGCTCCGGTGTTCGGGTGTGGACATTTAGAAGTTTGTGTCACTCTATTGGGTGCCGAAGCTGCTTCTCGGGACCGCTGCAGCTTGCAGAGTTTGGGAGCATCACCAAAAGAATCTTCGCAGTGCTCAGCTGAAACTCAGGCTCCCATCTTGGGGCACTGGCCGGGAAAGGGTTCAACCTCCGAATGTGGTGCAGAGCTCGAAGTGCGTTCTCTGCAGCCGCCTGATAGAAGAGGTGCGAAAACAAACTGTTTTCAGGTTCCTTATTGTTATTTTATATTTATGGTATAATATAATCCCAAACCTGCTATTCTAATTATTAAGGTCCATATATTATACCCTTTCGGTATGTTGAGTCTTGGTTGAGTGGCCGCCAGCTTGCCAACTTCCGTCGCTACGATGGCGCCCGGCGGTCAGGAGCATACACCAGGTGAAGGAAAGGAACTGTGACATGTAGCGATGCTCCTCAGACAGCGTCTCTCAGTGTCTCTCATGGCACTTGCAAGCCTCAACTTCCCGAAGCAAAGTCTGCTACGAAGCCCCGAATCAGCCCAAGCTCGAACTCCGTGTCCGGATGCCTCCACGTTCACCTTCACAGCGCCCTGCCAAAGGCTCATATCTTAGAACTTCCTCCCAGCGGTCAGGTTATCCTCGATCCAAGAATTCTGACGTCGGTTCCCTGCAAGATTTCTAGTCTTCTGCGCTTTGCTCCCTTTCAGCACGGCCTCCTATGCACTAAAGAATGACGAGTTCCTCAAAGCTGGAGTACCCCCCTTCGACGGCTCATCGCTAGCAATATCAGATTGCCACATGCTGCACTTGCACTTCGAGAAGCTGGTCTTGGTCAGATCAACCCTAAACACTGTACAGAACCACGCACCTTGCTCACCAGGGTGGCAGCTGGAAGTTGTACTCCTGGACGACATGCTCCAATTTCTTGCCAGACCAAATTGTTTTAGAATCCGGGGCGAAGGTTCGAAGCGGAGTTTAAGACATGTGGATTCTGGGTCTTGGCAATGCAGTCCCGAGTCCTAACCTGAACCGAACTCTCAACCCCCTGCAACCCTAATCCCTGTATCCCGAGGCCCTTTAGGTACAGCTCTGATTCCCTTCATTCAGCCCTCCAAGCAACCGAACCCGCGAAACCCCAACAACCGTACAGCTCTGCCCTTGAAGCCCAAGACCTCACTAAGTCGCAGCAGCCTATGTGTCAGAGCCTAGCCTTTGGTTACCTCTGAAGATCGGTGTTGGGATGTAATCCTTTGCACACGTTTCCTGCACTCACGGCGCGGGGCCTAGAGAACACTACGGGAAACATGCGATCCTAGTCGTAAGAGCCCACACTTCAGCACTGAATGCGCCTGCCGAAACCCAAACCCTGTAACTACCCAAAACCTCAAAAAGCCTGATCTTTTAAAGCCCTAGTCCCAAACCCTAGAACCCGACAGCCGAATCCCTGCAAGCCCCAAACGCCCCTGCAAGGCACCCCCGACCTGGATGGAGCGAGAGCGTCGCCATCCAGGATTTGGAGGTGATGAGCTCGTACCTCTGAGGGCTCAGCGTGTTGCGCTAGGTATGTACGTATGTACGGATAGATAGATAGATAGATGGATAGATAGATAGATAGATAGATAGAAAGACGGACAGAGAGAGAGAGAGAGATAGATAGATAGATAGATAGAGAAGATAGATAGATAGATAGATAGATAGATAGATAGATAGAAAGGTAGGTAGATAGATAGATAGACGGACAGATAGAGAGAGAGAGAGATAGATAGATAGATAGATAGATAGATAGATTAGATAGATAGATAGATAGATAGATAGGTAGATAGATAGATAAATAGACAGACAGATAGACAGATAGACGAGATAGATCGATGAGACAGATATTACCAAGATTGCTAGTCTAGTAACACTGCAGTATTTCGTGAGTATGCGAGTACGAAGCCTTCTTACACTTCTCGGAGCGACTGGATACACTCATCATGGCAATATTTGTCGGTACAACCGATCCGTAGATCTACACAGGGGTTAGGGTTGCTGGGACTTTTGGGAGTTTGGGGCTTCTTGCGTTGAAAGGTGTTGGGGTTCTGGGGTTCGGACTTTTCGGCACAGACATTTCTGGAAAGTGTAGCCCCACCATCACAATTGCTGTGCGCACGTGTCTCTGCTTCTTCCTACATGCACGATAAGACCAACAGAAATACATACATACGTACATACGTACATACACACATACATACATACATACAGATAGATAGATAGATAGATAGATTTATGCACTCACCCGCAAACACACATTCACGTTATGTACCGTATGTGAGTATGTAATTTGGTGTGATGTAATGCTGTAACATAATGCAACGTAATGTATTGTAATGTGTAATGTATTGTGTGTGTGTGTCTCTGTCTTTCGGTCCGTCGGTCTCTCTGTCATCCCTGTCTGTATGCACGTGTATGTACTATATATATATGTATGTATATATGTATATGTCTGCATGTGTACGTGTGTTTGTCTGTCTGTCCGTCCATCCGCTCGAATGCCCGTGTGTATATGTACTGCACGTGTGCTTGATTGACCTAGCACTTGCAGAAGAAGCCACATGTGTTCTTTTTCCCTACTTGCCCTTGGAGCCCGGCTGGTCAGCTGGATGTGGGAAAATGCTGCGGATGGCAGCTGCCTCCCGAGTCTCAGGGAGCTGCAGTGAGAACATTTTGAAAGGTGCTTCCGTACTGCGGCGGCTGTGATGGCATACATCGTGTTTGTATAATATACAAATACGTGTTGAACCAGGAGCAGCTATCACCATGATCATGGCCAGCACCGTGTTCACCATCATCCTCCTCCTCCTCCTCCTCATCATCATCATCATCGTCATGTTCAGCGGCATCGGCATCGGCAGCATCGTCGTTGTCCTCCTCCTCGCTCACTGTGAGCAGAAACCGTCAACTTTTATCATACACTAATCGCAAAAATGACACTACTCGTTGTAGCTGTACGAGGCTACTGGGTAGGCATGGTGCCGGAGTTCGGTGCAGGGCTCCATGGCAGGACGTGCTGTGCTTGCGTATGTGCAGACACGTGTTCCGCCCCTGAACTTGAACCCCAGATTGTGTGAGATCAAGTCCTTCTGAGCCCGTGGATCTTGACTCCTTCATATGTCGGAATGGCCCAAGGCACCTCGCAGGCACGCATGGCAGCGAACCTCAAGACTGTTTCCATGCACAGGGAAGATGATGTCGAAAGTGCTCTTAAGCGGGGACTGGTATGTGCCCGAAGACGGCTAGCACAACCTGAAAGGCGCAAATACAGCTTAACAGCGACAGCCGGAGATGCTGCATCTGCCGAATGTGGTCTAATGCTCTCAGATGCAAAACTTGACAGCTGGCGGGTAGCGAAACCCTGTTGTTGGTAGCGGTTTCCGGTTTCAGGGTTGAGGGTGATTAGTTGAGGCTTGCAGAATCTTGCGGACATCCACAGCCCCTGGCATCGCATGACGCTCCACGTAGCAGGCGTAGTCGGGATCGCCGAAGTCCTTTCATCCACCACAAGGGGTCGTTTGGGAAATGACGGCTCTTGCCAACAAGGGAGCCAAGGCGGATGAGGCAGTGCGTGCGTTCTGCCGCAAGGAGTCAGAAGCCTGATCCTACTTCCCATAGAAATCCCAAAACTCAGGCCCAAACTGAGAGTAAGACTCACCCTTCCAAAACGCGAACATAATGGAGCCCCACGGAATGCCTCCCACTCTGCAGGCCACAACATCCAGAAAGCTGCACGGCGGGGACCTGGCGAAGGATTGTGGACCCGACACTGTGCTCATGCAAGGTGCTACAAGAATAGGAACAATGATGATGGTCATGTCTGCTAGCACTACCTTCACTGCGAATATGGTTATCGTACGGGCTTAGGGTTTCAGGATTGAGGCTTCGAATTTGGGCGTGAGGGTGCCTGTGTGAAGTATGTGGACGAGGTCGAAAGGAACAAAACACGACATTGTAAAGTGCTGCACATACTCAAGACTGACAGTGCTTCTGCCTTTCATCCCGGCCCGGATCATGTGAGCTTGAGGAGCTATTTGGAGAGCGTCCTTCGGACAGGATTCTTCCCCTGCGCCTACCATGTCTGACACATGGGGCAGCTGACAACTTGCAAGCTCTTGCGTGGCGCTCGGGACTGAGCACTGACCACCAGTCAGACGGCAACCGTCAGCTCCCTCACACCCTTCCTTGGAGCTCGCGACGAGGACATGGTGCAACTCCCACTGCGGCATGCCCTGGCGCTTGGGCAGGTGGGGTGTGCTCTGTAGAGAATGAAGTTTCTCGAAAATAGTTACCATGGTCCGGATGATGATTGTTGAGACGCTTACGAAGCTCATTCTTGTTGTTTTTTCTCAGCTCTACCCTGCTGTGACTGTTGGACGTCGCTCAAAAACAAGGCGTTGGCGCAGCACGGGCACGGAAAAATCAGAACCTGTTAAAATTGCCTTCGCAGTGCTGCATCACATACCCGCTGATCTTGCTCAGCAATATCTGTATAGCTGGGCAAGTTTTGCTTGCTTTCAAAAACATACTTCTTACTGAACATGACCCCATTTAGTCTTGGCCGGCCTGCTCCTTTCTTTCCACAGTCTATGCGGCTAGCAGAACTTGTAAACCAAACCTGCCTCAACAGGTCTACATCGGAACTTCGTAAGATTGGCCAAGAAGCTTCGCTCGGCTCGCTGCGTGATTTCTATTGAACGGTAAAGCTTTCCTCGTATCACCAGGATTTGGGAATGCTGCGTCAGTTGCTGCTGCAAGCAGTCTTTGAGTAGTATTCGCCCGGTTGATATAAGTCGAAGTCATACCCATAATCTTTCTCAAACCCCGGTATTGAAAGGCTTCCAGCTTCTTCGCTAAAGAAGGTGTAAGATGAGTTGTCTCTAATGCCATAAAGTAGCTTACTACGGATGATCGCAACGTACGCAATGATTTTCCATTTCTTTGTAGCTCTGGTTGCCTTCCAATACGCAGTCAAGTCAGTTTAAGCCATGTGCAGCAAACTTCTTGCATCATGTTCAAGATTTCATGTGCCATGCTAACATCCTGTGTGTTTAATTTCCCAAGTACGTAGCTTCATAACTCTTTGTGAGTACACTACCATCATAGAAGTGAATATTACCATCATTATTCATGGGAACAGCCAAGCACTTAGACGGTGACCGATTTAATTTCAACCCGTAGTGTTGTGAGATTCTCTCGGTGAGACTCAAAAGTTGCTTTAGCCCCCTCTTTGGACCGCGAGAAAAGAGGCGATGGTGGCATCAGCATAGTAAACCACATCAACGTCCAGATCAGGAATAATTCTGTGTCATTCTTGTATTCTGTTTATCAGCATTAGTATTGCTAATCTGAAAAGGATATACATTGTTGTCATTACTACTGTGACTATTTTGCAACCCCTTCTCCTTTGCTATGCCCTGGCACCTCGGGGCTGTGGAGGGACAGGTGCTTCTTGAAACCTTTCTCCACGACGTGACCTCGGCACAAGGCTCTCCTGGGAGGTTGTTTTGTGTTTGGGGCTTTTACTCTAGTATAGTATAGTATAGTATAGTATAGTATGGCGTAGTGTATTGAATTCAGGGGTATGGCTTTGGGGCAGCTGGCTGTCGAGGGGCCCATGTATTCGTCGCTCGGTGGAGAGCCATACTTGCCCCAGTCTCCGTCGTTCGCCTCACAAGACAAAGCAGGTCGATTCGCGTGCTATGGAGTTTAGGTCTGATTTGAATTTTGAGTGTTGTCAGGCAAATGGGCTTACTTGGCAGCAGCCAAACACACGCAATGACCAGGCTTGCCCCGGCACCTACCACTTGCTCTTGCAAGGCCTCCTGCTCGTCCATCCACTTGGAGTACCTAAGCCGCACAGGGCCACCGGCAAGATCTGCTCTCAGCCTGAGCCTGACACCGAACACATCCGAACTGCCCACCCCTGAGTGCCCACCCCTGAACCCGCAGTGTGATGATATCTCTGAGGCGACGAAGTGCAGATCATCTACTTTCTAAGGGCTCTGAGACTTCCTAGAGTCGTCCTCGCATTTCAAGGTGCACCCGCTTGAGGCCTAGGCTGCAATGCTTCACCCGAACTCCGAGCACACAACCCTTGAAACGGAGAAGAGAAGCCTACAGATGCGAACCCCCTGCGAAACAAACCAAAGGTCTTATGCTCCCACTCGGGAAAAAAAGCAAGAAGTCCACCCAAATCCACAAACGACGGAGCCCGAAACTGCTTTGAGCCCAAAGGCTCGCCACCCCATCGGACAAAAAGCAGCGACAACTTGCACCTGGGCATGCTCAAGCTTCAGGAATCTTAGGGGCTAGGGAGGCGAGTGCAGGTGTTCTGGGTGGAAAAACTTCAGGTACCAGCATTGAGTCTCTGGCAGCATGTGGCCCAAGTCAACCAAAAAGAACACCCGCAGGCGGGAGCCACGATCATATGGGGAATCGCCATGCCCAAACAATGCAAAACTGCACGCGATCGTGTGTGTTTTATACACTGTCGCTAGGAATAGACCGTCTTTGCGTTATCAAAAACCGCTGTGTGTTTGATTTTTTTACGGTAAGACCTGTTCCAAGTTCTCCTACACATCCTCTACGTAATACAGGCTTGCATTGGATTTTGGTTTGCTGATACAGTAAACAACTTCTCGAAGTGACACAAGTGGCATTGCATGTCACTGCATGTGGACGAGAACAGGTTCGCATTGGACATGTGAAAAATCTATGGTTCTTCTCGCCATGTATGCGTTAATATTAGATGCGAGTCTCTGCAGCGCGCAACAGATATCCAAGCAAACAGGCAAATAGATAGCTGGATAGACAGAGCAGTAGATAGACAAACAAATGCAAGTCGCTAGATAGATAGGTATGCAGCCAGATACATACCCTACCGTGCAAACTCAACAATTACGGATGGGAATAACGATGCTCCATCTGCGCCTCAACCCGAACACATTTGTCCACTACGCATGCATAAAGCCAAGCTCTGGCTGAAACCTCTGGGCAGCGATCACTATACTTGCAGTCAGGCGCTGCAGAGCAGAGAAGCGGTGGGGTATTATGAGTATTATGATGCTTTCTAAATTGACCTTCCGAGCCCTTCGTCTGATTCCTGTCCGGGGTCGCAGGCGGCGGCGTTTTCGCATCGCAGACCCAGCGGACCTTGCGAGAGGAAAGAGGCATCTGTTGTCCATGCAGTATGCATACACACATAAATGGCCAGGTTTCCTGGCGGTTCGCATGTGCAAGATATTGCAATGAAGCGCTGTGTAATCAAGATCTGAACATAGCCACACTAGCGAGAGCTTCTGAAGCTACGAGTAATTCCGGTATCGCTTCCAAGGTGTCTCGACTGGATTCATTCCAGACCACTGCCGCGCCAAGGCATCCGGCCCGTGACCACCTGTGTCAGCCGGCTGACAACCCCGAAAAAAGGGCAGACCACCTCTGACCGGGGCCGTTTGCATGAGCCCTCCTCCCTAACCCTCAAAGCCCCCGTACTTACACCCACAGCAAGAGGTGCAGACTCTGCGAGGGCCGGGCCCTCTGGGGCATCGTCGCCGAAGGCACAGGGGTTCCCTGCCGAAGGCTTAAAGAATGGTGAGGACACTGCGAATAAAACGTTAATACTAGTAATCACGACAAGAGTGACCATCACAACAAGAATAAGACATACTAAGATTGACAATAAGAGACACAATATCAGGCAGAATAATGGTCACAATAGCTATCATAAAAACATCTTATTAGACAAACCAAACAACATGAATAGGGCTTCGGGGTACTGTGGCCGCGATTCCACAACGACAACGCAAGACTATTCTTCATAAAGTCTTTTCGATGCTTACATCAGGGCAGTGTACGTTCAAGGGTTAACAGCTTGTGGAACAAATGCCACGAACAACACTTTCTCAGGGCTATCGCATCTTGAGCTGTTGCAGGTGTGAGACTTTCGGCTCAAGCTCCGTGGTCCCTGCAAGACTTTGCCTTGCGGGTGACGAAGTTGTATTCGCCTTTGGGAAGCACGAGGGGCCACGTCTCCTGGCAGCATGAGGTAGTGACGCAGGGTAGAAACAGATTCAAAAGGCACGCGACAACATGATCACCCAACATCAAGATGAGGCCGTGCTGTTTACCAAATTGAGTCCCGCCTTCTGCTCAGAATTTACTTTGGCGGGGTCCACGGCTTGCTCCAGGGTCCCGTACCTGGACTTGAGGCTTCGATTACTTCGGTTCTATGTCGGCGCTACCGCAGGTGGAAAAAGCAAAGCTAACGCAAATGAACATGCTGGAAGGATTGCTTCGAGCCCGTTGGGGATGATCGCTGTGCAACAAGCCAAAGAATCTGCGGGGGATGTTCGAGATGCTCATGTCTGCCTCATTTTCAGGCTTGCGTTTACGGGTAGGTGTTTCTGGTTTGGGAAGCTGCGCAGTTCCAGGGCTAGCGGGTTCGGGATCTGAGAACGTTATAGCGGGCTGATTCTGAGGCTGCGACAGCCAAGTGTGAGAGGCAACGAACATGAAGCCTCCTGAAACAACGAGGGATGCATCTTCACAATTCAGCGCAAGAAGGATTCAGTCGACGTTCGCCATGCAGACATCCTGCATGCCCAGCTATGCAGGCTCACTTCTTAATCTGCGATTTGCTGGACAACCCGACACCGTTACAACCGAAAGTGCTATACAGAAGCCATCTTGAATCGCAGACCTGTGCTAAAGCAGCTGCAGTCGTTGAACCCTTGAGGATTAGGAGACCTGCGACCGACAGACTCGGGGACAGGGTTCTGCGTGCGAGCCTCCCTGCTGCTTCCCATTGCCCTTGCTACGCGAGGGCCCGCAGAAAAGCAGCGGCGCCTGTCCCACCATGCGAAGCTGCAATCTACAATCAGCTTCAAGTCAGTTTTGCAAAACTGTGAATTGTGAGGCTCAAACTCATCGCATCGATAGAGCGACTGAGTTGAAGCTTTCATGGCAGCGCTGCACAGTCTACGTGCTAGGGTCTGCCACCACTGCCACCACCGCCCACCCCCGGCCTCCCACTCCCACCTGCCCGGCCGGCACCAACAGCACCAGCACCAGCCAATAAACCGCCACCAGTCTTAAGTCTCACAAACAGCATCCCGGCATAAGTGGGGAGTGTGTTGGACTCCACCTGTATCCCTCACCGCAATTTCCCCATGCGTCAGAAGGAAGCCTAACAGGCTTCAGGTGTCGCTCAAAAATATGGTCATGACACCTCTGTCCTGCAAAAAGCGGACAAAAACTACGAGATCAAAAGAAGCCTAAAGATCAATCTAAAGAACAACGGGGCCTTCGGGTCCCCGGCATCGGACTCGAAGTAGAACAGGACCTCGCCCCGGCCCGGCGCATTGAATTTTAGGCCCCGAGTTTTTTAGAAGCTCGCTCTATCACAGGTCCTCGAAGAGACAGACTTGAGCTAGGGTTTAGGGTTTAGGGCTTAGGGGCTAATAAAAACCATTGGGCGAAGTTCTTGAGTTGAGGCCGGAGCCTGCTGTCCCTTCTGCATGGGCCCAGCCGCTGGTGGCGCGCTGGGCGACTCCGAGTGCCTTTCTCTCGGGTTTCGGGGTCAGGGGCGTAGCGTCTCTTATTTTAAAGCACTCGAAGGGTTCTGTTCCATCTGCTAGGGGGAGTAGGAGAAACGGCAACCGAACCCACCGACGTCAATAAAGCTTGTCTTCCAGGGTTCGGCCCAACCCGCTGGTCCAGTGCTGTAATGCCGAGCCACGGCCGTTTTGTCCCGTTGGACACGCCCTCGGGCATCGCCCAGCTACGGTCTGATGCCGAAGAAGCGAGGCTCTAGACTGAGATGCTTGGGGGGTTGCTGGCATTGGCCAAGAAGGATCTGTCTGAGATGCTTCATGTAGTGTCGTATGAAGTGCTCGTGATATACTACGAACACCGTTTGCCTCGAATATTTGGTGGGCGGGAGCGCCTGCTACGGTCCATCCTGGCTGCCCTGGTTGCTTGTTGCAAGTGCATTCTGACGTGTCAAGCGCTTGAGCCAGCGATGGCATGGCGGGCTAGTCGCTTCGTCTCGCCACAACGTGCCTGCACTAACCGTGCTCAAGCCCATGCGAGTCAATGTAGAAACTAAATCGTCGGATGCAGGGTTTGCCAGTGGAGGGGGCTTTCCCCTCTTACTGATTCTCATGTTCATTTCCTGACGCCGGCATCGCCTGCTCCATCTCTCTGCAAACAGCTTCTCAATACATCCAGACCACCATCCAAGAGTTCAACAAACAGGATCGGGTTCGGTTGCACTTCTTCCGCTGTCGCTTGAAGCTCATAGAACATGATCGCGCAAAAGCTTGGAGCATCCGTCTCAGGGCACATACTAGGATCAGTCTGTGCAGGTCGTTCGAAACGGTGAACTGTGCGTTTCAGGTTCGGCAGTGCTGGCCCTCGCGAAAGCCCAGCCTCACCTCAGTCGCTTGGGGCCGGTGCCGGCTCAGCAACGATGCCCGAAGAAGGTGGAGGTACCTCCGAGTGCCCGGGAGCTTTGTCCGATGTCTCCAGGTCCTCCTCGTCCGAGGAAGTCCGGAACAAGAGATCTTGAATAGACTGTCGAAGGGTGGCAAAGTACCGACTCCAGAAGGCGTCTTCCGTGAGGCGTCGAGGAACCAAGCGAAAGCGCACAAACCTCAGCTCAGGGTTCCACTCCAGTAGAGCCCCGGCCCACTCGGCAAAGTTTGTGTTATCGTCCATGCTGAAGCCGGAGTCCCGGGGCAGCTCGTTTGGACAAGCTTCCAGGAAGGCGTCTTCAGTTCGCGTCAGACCCCGCGCGGCTTCCTGTACGCCCGGTATGTCATATCGGAAGACGCGA